ATAATTTTGAAAAAAAAATGATACAAAGTTGGGAAACCTGGTAAGATGTCGAGGAGGAATTTTGTTGGATCGTGCTTTATAAAAACTTTCCCCAGCGGCAAAAACTGCCCTGTTCCTGGATCGGCTCCCACCCAGTCCAACCAAGCCTTGCCCCTCCAAGGACGGTGATACGGCGCTGGTCTGGGAGGATGAAAACTTGACTTGTAGCGGATGTCGGAAGTGCTAGTCCCGTCTGAATGAAAGCCGAATGCTCTCGTCCCAAACAAGCCTGGGCGCAGTTCGGCTCAGTGTAGGCACGGGAGCACTGAGTCGTACTTACCAAAGCTTGTAGTGACCATCTCGTGAGAACCTTAAATTCTTGAAACTAAACAGGCTAACTTGTACCACTTCGCAGCTTCAGCAGAGTTTACAGGTCTCACTCAGGAGGAACCTAAAGTTAACATGAACCAACAAGCGCAAAATGCCTTCCCCTTCCCCACCTTAAGCCAAAGAGTGTCCAGTTTTAGCCGAAAATAATGGTTTTCTTTTTTGTCGCTTGTATTTATTTTACATTCGCTTTGACTGCTTGTTTCAGACGATCTACATCAGTGGTGATAATGACGTCGGTGGTGAGATAGAACCGGTACAAAGCCTTCTGACAGCAAGGTTTAGGAAAATGTTCACGAACACATTTCCATCATCGAATGACATCTTCAAGTCTTTGTCACTTATTGAAGTGAGTATTGAATCCAGGTTCTGTATGGCAGCAAAGGAGGCATTGTACGCTCGGATGGAGTCAAAAATGCATGGCCCATCCTAGAAAACTTAAAGACACAGTCCGCGATTACCTGATATGTAGATTGACTTCCCGGTGCGATGCGGCACAGTCTGCGAGGTACACTTTCGCTGCTCGGAAGCGCGTTGTGGTAACGCCCAGGGCACGTCGTATGTTAGGGGAGGGTCAGCGAGGGGGAGAGTCTTATTTGATCGCTGGAGAGGGAGATCGCCTTCAATTTTAAAAAGTGTTTTAGAGAGATGGTTCCACTAGTTTTTCTCCTTTCCACTGTTCCAAGCACTTGACTGCGCCGTGTTCGTCCACCCACGTCCAATGGCATTTTTTGAGGAAAAATAGAGGAATTAAAAAAACTGGAGAATTGATGGAAAGTTGAGATCTTGCTGGAT